TATGTTCACCAAGTCCATTTGTTTCAAGCTCTGGTCCAGTTCTGTTATTTCTTTGCTAATTTTTTATCCGACCTATCTTTTTGGGATAAGGGGGTGTTAAGGTCTCCTGTTAAGATCGTGGTATTGGATATTAGATTTTTCATGTCCATTAAGATTTGCTTTATATAGTTGGGTGCTCCTGTGTTTGGTGCATACATATTTATGAGTGTTACCTCTTCCTCTTGAATTTTTCCCCTAACCAGTATGTAGTGACCTTCTTTATTCCACTTGGGGGCATTTAGTATTGTTTTCCATCCTTTGAGTTCAGCCTATGAATGTCTTTATCAGTCAAACATGTTTCTTGTATACGGCATAGAGGCCAGGGTGATAGCCCTGTGGAATAATCACTTCCCTGACAAGCTCGAGAGCCTGAGTTCAATCCTCTGTTCTGAAAAAAAAAAAAAAGGCACTTTTGTGCAGCATATTGTTACATTTTGTTTCAAATCTATTGAAACAGTCTATTTCTTTTAATTGGTGAATTGGGTCCCTTTACATTGATATTATAAATGAGGTGTATTGACTTACAATCCACATGTTATTTACCATGTGCCAGTCTATTTCTTTTAATTGGTGAATTGAGTCCCTTTACATTGATATTATAATTGAGGTGTGCTGACTTACAATCCACATGTTATTTACCTGTTGTTTACTCCTTTTTCTCCTGTGTTTAATTGTTTGCCCTATTTAGTTGGTTGCTTCTGATCTCATTGTTGGAGTTCTGATCTTTTTGGTCCCTCTCTAGAACATCTTTCATGAGCCTAAGTAGGGTTGGCTTTGTCATCATGAAATTCTTTAGTTGTTCTTTGTCATGGAAGTATTTAACTTCTCCATCAAACTTGAAGAGGAGTTTTGCAGGGTATAGTAGTCTGGGTTGGAATTTGTTTTCATAGAGGACTTGACGTACTCTGCTTCATGCTCTTCTTGCCTTCATGGTTTGTGAAGAGAAGTCGACTGCAATTCTGATGGGTTTTCCTTTGAATGTGATCTACTTCTTTTCTCTAGCAGCTTTCAATGTATTATTCTTGTGCTGGATTTCTGAGTTCTTGACTATTATATGCCTCAGTGCGTTTTTAATTGGGTTGAGGTTACTTGACATTTTCTATGCTTAAGTTTCCTGAATGTCATATTGTTTCCTCATATTTGGGAAGTTTTCTGCCATTACTTCTGCCCATATTTTTAAATGTCATTTGTATTGACTCCTTCTTTCTCATTGATACCTAGTAGTCTCACATTGTTCATCTTTGCATTGTCTTGCAAGTGGTGAATTATTTTTTCTACATCCTAGTTGTTTTTAAGAAATCCTTTTTTACCTTTTCATTAGCTGTACCAGCATCTTCAAGGTCTGAAACTCTGTCTTCACTTTCACTCAAATGGTTTTGCAAATTTGTGATTGAGATTTTAAGTTCCTCTATGTCTCTTTGACTTTGCTTCATGCGATCTATTTCTTTCCTGTATTGTTCATTGAAAGACTCCATCATTTTTCTAATCTCCTCTTTTTTTTATCAGTGTCTTCCTTAGAAGCAGTTATTAATTCCTTTACTTAAGAGTCTTTTTCAGATTGTGTTTTCTCCCTATGTCTCTGTATTTGATTCTTTACTTCAGATGCTATGAGTTCGGAGAATTCTTTTTTTAAATTTCAGACAATATTTCTACTCTGAGTTCCTCTATAACTTTCTGCTGTTTCTTATTTACTTTCAATGCTATTAATTCATTCATTTCAGCTGAGCTAGTGTCCTTTACCCTTGTTCTTGGTGGGCATTGGATTTCCTTCATATGTTTCTGCATTTGATTCTTTACTGCAGATGCTATTAATTCAGGGATTTCTTTTTTCATTTCCAATCTGAGTTCCTCTATACCTTTCTGCTTGTTTCTTTATATCAGAACCTCTTGATTCATTGATTTCAGCTGTGTGATTCCCAGTTTGTTTTGTGTTAATTTACTCTGTCCTTGGTATGGGTGGGCTTGGGGTCTGAGATTGCATTTTGCTCCTTCTTATTGTCATTTTGTGTAGCATTGTCTTCTGACCTTTGTTGTAGAGCTTTGGTGCAGTTATAGCCTTAGCACCTACTGAAATTCAGGTGCAAATCTACAAAGTTTGGATTTATCCAGCTGTGCCTGGCTTGCGTCTTGCTGCTGTGCTCAGCTCCTTCCTGCTGCCACCCTTGGGAATGAACCTGTTGTACTCCTTTGGCAAGATGTTCTACTCCTGGACTACCTGGGTGGTTTTGTCCCCTGCTCTCTGTGCAGGGACTGCAGCTGCAGAGTTTCACCCCAGGCCTATATGCCAGGCCTGAGTTGCGTCTGAACAGGACAAGGTGGAGTAGGGGGTAAATGAACCTCTCCCACACACTCACTGGGCCTTGGCTAGAGCTGGATCTGGGGGTCCTGAGAAAGTGGCAGAAATTCTCACTCACTGGGTGGGAATGGTGGTGGCTGCAGAATGGTGGTGGCGGTCCCAAGGGGGGTGGAAGAGAGTCTCACCCACACTGAGCCTGGGCTTGAACCGGACAGGTCTCCCTGGTGCAGGGTAGCCGGAACATAGAATGATTTAATCATAGTGTGTGTCTTATATTTGTGAAGAATGTTTTAAAATTAACATATAAATTATACAAGTTAATGGGTTTCACTGTAGCATTTCCATATGTGGTGGTTTGAACATGTCTAACTTATGTGCATGATTTTAAAATATGAGGTAAAGACCAAACTTATATACAATGTTCTGTAACTTTTAAACCAATGTATTTTACTTGATATCAACTTTTGGGCCACCACTGGACAATAATTAATAAGCTTGCACACAAAAGGAATAAATCTCAAAGCTTTAAAACTGGCATTGCTCAGCACATCATATACATTAGGATTTCTCTTTGTACCCAAAATTTATACTTGTCCAATTAAAAAATAAATTACAAGCCTGAGTTTTTTTATTTTCAAATTTCTCCTATAAGTTCTTTTACTTTCTACTTCTATAAGAAGTGGCACATCTTTTGGTATTCCTATTAAATAAAGTAATTTTCTGGTTAAGAAAAATTCTGGTGTAGAAAGACTCCTGGGACACTTTGCTATTACCCTTTTCATGTCATTTGTCAAAAATTCAAGTTGATTTTGATCAGCAATGAATAACTATGATTTCCTTTGAGCCTTAAATAAAGCTCATGTTTAAGAAACTTTTCTATCCTCAACTTCTAGTGGATAGTAAGTACTCAATTATTTATTAAATGATGCTCTTAATACAATGGATGGGCATCCACTATCTCTTTGCATGCAGAATGCTACATTTAAGAGAATCTACTTAATGGTCTCTCTTAGTGAAGAGAGCTAGTGATGCAGATAATTAAAAAGAGAAAAGGTTCTTCTGTTAGATCGAGAAAAAGAATAGCTAGTTTCACTATTTTACAATTAATGCGATAAAAGCACAGTATTTTGGCTATCACATGTGGATATTTATATAAAATTATTACTTTCCATATAGCATCGATTAGTGTGACTTCATTTACTTTATTGGTCTTGGAAATAAAGTTTTTTTAAATTTATTTTTCTATTTTTAATTTTTTTTTCTGTATTTAGGATAGAGTCTATAGGGTATCTCTATGTAGATCAGACTCAGTGATACTCCTGTTTTCAGCCTCCCAAGTGCTGGGATTACAGGCACATGCCACCATTCTCAGTCTCAATCACCATCTCAGTGGGCCTCGGGGGCTGGGTCAGCACAGCAGGTGGGGGATTGAACCCCAGCTGCTGCGCTTTGCCTAAGCAGGTGCTTTAGTCCACTGAGCTGTCAGGCCAGCCCAGAAATAAAGCTTTAAAAGTATGGCTTTGGTTATGGCAATATTAAGAAAGTCAATATCTAGATTTCATACATGCCCTTATTAGTCTGTTTTTGTGCTTTTGCTATTTTTAAGATTATGTAAAAGGGTCAAGATGTAATATGTCATGGTATCAGTTCCTTTTAATGGAGATATTATACATCACAAACATGTACTAATAAAAATAGGGAAAAGTCAAATTAAGTCTTTTAAATAAGGTATTGTATATTAGGTCTTTTGTGATCTATCTGTCTGATTTTAATGTATTTGGTACAGGGTCTCACTGCACAGTTTGGACTTGTAGTGATTCTCCTGTTTTCAGCCTCACTGGCACTGGGATTACAGGCATGCACTACTATGCCCAGACTCAGTCGCCAGCTCAGTGCACCATGGGGTGAGCTGGCATAGCATGTGGTGCCGGGAATCAAATGGTCCTTGTGCTTGCCTAAGCAGATGCTTAGTCCACTGAACTAACTCCTCAGACCCAAACTAACTGTCTTTAAATTAGTTTGTTAGTTGTTGTTGTTGTTGTTGTTGTTGTTGTTGTTGTTGTTGTTGTTCTTCTTCTTCTTCTTCTTCTTCTTCTTCTTCTTCTTCTTCTTCTTCTTCTTCTTCTTCTTCTTCTTCTTCTTCTTCTTC